ATTCTTCTTAAAGGGCTGTAGTTTTGAAATGGACTTTATGTTTTGAGGAATGTCATTCCATGCTTTAGTATAAACATAGAAGAAAGACCTCTGGCGCATCTGGTGCAATGCATCAACTGTTTTTTATGTTTTTTATGTTTTAACTGTACACTGTCCTGATTAAATAAAATAAATTGAAATTTGAAACCAGCAGTAAGAGATGTTCCTCTCTCGGGACAGAACTTACGTTTTCTCTTGATTGTCGTCTTTTCTTTTTCTGATTGACTCCGGCGTCCGTTCCCTCCGCCAACTCCATCTTTCGTTTGTTCCTCCTGTATGCAGATAAGCTGAACCCTGTGTGTGAAAGAATGTCCGATGAAGTCCTTTTATAGCCACGATAAATGTGAGTCTAATTCTCTAAATCTGATGTTAGAGATGCAGCTGCCAGGAAAAAGACAACGAGGGGATCTACGGATGAGAGGACATGGAGGACAACGACTCGCTGTGGTGACCCCTGAAGAAAAAGACAACAGCCAAAATAAAAAGAAAACTCACGTGTGGCCATTTTCTCTGAAGGACATGGAGGTATTCCATGGCTGACCGCCCAATCATGAGCCCCTCGGCCAACTAGAAAGCTGAAAAAGGAAACTTATTTACCAAAATGGAGACAGTAATAGTATGATAACTGAATATAAAACATGAGAATCACCAGGGTGGTATTCTGCCAGCTGATAGCTTCCCTTTCTGTGCTTCATTCAGCAGACAGTTCGCAACTAAGACAGGGTTCTTAATACCTGAGGGTGAAATAATCAACTTATTTAAGAGACAATAAACATATAATATGTCAAAAAAAATTCAGCCAAATCAATAAGAAATAACAGACTTTAATAGCAGACAGGAAGCATGAAAGCAAAAATTTAGAACTTATATTAATTTAAAAACACATTTGCTGATATCAATGCAAAAAATGTATTGTTTTCCCATTTAGTTTGTCTCTGAAACACAAACACACGCTGTTGTTTACTCTTTTTAAACACATCTTTCTAAATCCTGAGACTTGATTAAACACATATGTTGGCAGATTTCAGTATATCTAAGTGAAACAAATCTACATAAACAAATGATACGGTTGAGATCCGGCAGGCAGGTAATAAAAACAATCTGCCGTCTTTTTGAACTACGTGTTAAATGTTTGCCGTCAACACTTAAACTGCTGTTAGGAATAAATCAAGAGTTCTGGCAGGAAAACGCTGCTGTCGAAAGCTCTGATGGAGCAGGAACAAACTATTTTTGGAGTCGTTAAAAAAAATGTAGCACGTATTTCAACAATTTGCGACGCCAAGTTGCTTAAAGATGGTAAAGAGTAAAACAAAAGACCCAACAGTTTTGTTTCTTGAGCAGGAACTCACCACTGATGGCGCCGACTGCACCAAAATGCAGCGATTTTCCATCCATGATACTCGCATCACATTCAATCTCTCCTGATAAATTAAGGTTGGAGCCCATGCCAGCATTTGTAAAAGGAGAGTCCTGAAAGCAAATGAGACCGGCAGAAGTCAGAGCAAAACAATCCCTGTAATCAAACATACTGTAGGTATGAATAAAGTGAAGCTCTTTTGCACCACGTTGTTTGTAAAGTGGGTTTTACAACATTAGATCTGATTTATAATCATCAAACCTCGAGTTCAACCAGAGCTGCAGTCACCGCTTCCACTGCAGGAGCTCCTGCTCTCAGCTGCTCCACAGCCTAAAAAAAAAACAACAGTTAAAAGAACGTCCAGACCTTAACAATACATGCCAGAAATAATTTAGGAAAAGATGCCACACAACTTTAGTTTGTACCTTACATCCAAGAATTGTTGACATTCTTGCCCGCAGCCCTCAGATAGATTTTTATTTTGGGGAAAAGGTTTGTGCAGCTTTGATATACTATGTATATAAACTGAAACAGCTGGACATTGTTTCAGCCGTAACATTCCCGATGCTATCACCATATATACGTATTAGCTCAGCGCTACACATTCTCCTCTCGTCACTGAGGTCCTCCATCCACATGACAGAGAAGGGAACGCAAAAATTACTCAGCCTGTGACTGAAAATATGGATGGAGGACCTCAGTTTAGCTTGTTTGTTGCGCTAGCACCAAGCTAATACATATAAGGCAATATAGCGTCGGCGCTAGCACAAAGGCTAACAGGCTAAGCTGATGTTCTTCTTCCATGAAGCAGCTCTGTTGTCCTCCATCCATATTTTCAGTTACAGGCTGAGTCATTTCTACCTTCTCCTCCCTGTCAACGCTCTCTGGTTTCATTTAAAAGAGTCGATCATCAGATATTGCCTAAGATTAAACCTTCAGGGTGGATATAGCTCGCTAGCAGCCTCACACCAAGGACCTATCCACGTCATCATTTACCCAGAATGCTTTGTGTGTAAATAAAATGGCTTCGTCCGTGTTAAAAATGTGTTTAAAAATTAAAAAAACTAAACAGCTACAGTATTTTTACAGTCTTTATTTTACAGTTAAAATAAATGTTTATCAAACAAAGCCTAATGATACAACTAAGCAGGGATCCCTTTAAAAAGTACTTACTTTCTGACAGGCTCTTTTGCAAACATGCTTGTACTCCTTGGCCTTAGATTCAGAGTGGTATCCTGCTCCTGAAAGCACAAAATAAAAAAAAGATGTAAAAAAATTCCAAAACAAAAATAATTGATTATTTTAACTTATTAAAACTTTAAATAATTGGGGGTGGGGGGTGGGGTCATGTACCTGCATGGACCAAAACAAACCCTCCAACACATCTTGGCCTTGGACTCCCAGTCGATTCCTGGTTTTTGGACCGGCAGTTTGTCATGAGTGAGGAAGGATGCTGCTCTTCAGCATAACTGGGTAAACTCTCCATAACCACTGCATAACTCGACAAGCCTATCATCGCCTGTCAGACAAGTCGCAAGGAAACCATTTTCAGGGCAAACCTGGAACAGAACAGAAAAACAGTGAAGAACAACACAACAATCTTATTTACTAGTTTTAGTAGAGATAAAAAAACAACTTCTTGTAGCTCTCAGCTCAGAGTCCTGACACAATAAGAATGACTCAATAAGTTTCTGCCCATGTCTGTGTACAAGTGTCCAAGTTTGTAACGTTAGCAAAATGTCTAACAAATCAGTGGACGTTATGATTAACTTTTGGAGTCAATGTGATTCAAGGTGGCGCCCACAGCTAATCTTAGCGGACACAAAAATAAGTCAATTAATTGTAGAAATAATGAGGTAAAAGTTGACGTGGTAGTAGCTGAGAGTCATCTCCTACACACTACTTTGAGCACTGAATGATCTCACAAGATTTGTTTTGAAAAATTATTATTTATTACAATCAACTCTGTCTGTTAGCAAAATATCTCATACACCACAGGCCGGATTTTATTGAAATTTTCTCAAAGTAAGCTTTGGATGTCCACCTAAAACTGATTACATTTTTGAAGTAAACCCAAAATCGAGATGGCGGCTAAGATAAATATGGCTATAACTCGTCAATTTGACTAATTTTAAACTAAAACTTTGCATGACAGTAGCCGAGAGTCATTCATAACACATGCTTTGGTTAATATAAAGTTGTGCTAGAGATGCTAAGCTTGATTAATTAATGTGTAATCAATAGTCAGCTTTTCGGCTCCTTCATTTCGAAAGTAAGAGCTGAAGCATTTATTTATTTATTATTTAATTAGCAACTTTCGCAATAGTGACTTTTATATATAGATCTGGTGTTTTATAACTGTTTAAGAAAAAAAAACCGAGTGAGTTGTTTCAGTTTTAACTAATGTAGTTGTGTTTGCTTTTAGCCAGTTAGCCAACAGCTAACAGCTAACACAACAAAATCATCCCTACTTACAGATCTCCCTCCTCTCATTTCAGCTACAGAACCGCCTTCTGACCGTCACGTTGGCAGACACGAAGTGCGGCTAAGCTTGACATGTTCGACGCAAACTCAAACTTCGTGCCGCACAGTTTCGCCAGGCGCCCGTAGCCAAGTACTGTACCTCCCCGTAGCCGCTAGCTAAAGAACACGGAGTACTTCCTGGTTCAGACCGTCGTTGCTAAGGAAGTCAGACGCTCGTTGCCAAGGAAGTGCGCGCCGCAAACAATGACACACGTGGAGAAAGCGGAACAAAACAAAGCAAAACATTTTTAGATTAAACATTTAAAATATTGTAATGTTATTTCATTTAGTATTTGTGGTTTTTACGGAATTTCTAATTGGTAGATTTTAATGTTTCCTGTTAATTTAAAACCTAAAATTAATTTAGGCTTAATTAATAAAAAAAAAAAAAAAAGAAAGATCCTAAACACAGTCCGAATTAAAGAGTGTTGTATAAAGTAATACGAAGTGATATGCTACTTGAGTAAAAGTACAAGTATCTTACAAAAAACTTACTTTGATAAAAGTTAAAGTCTCCTTCAGGAATATTACTTGAGTAAAATTCTTAAAGAATCTGATATTTTTTGTACTTAAGTATTAGAAGTAAAAGTATTGATTTAAAATGAACAGATTTTGCATAAGGACATTTATTAGGAGGTGACCTTCCCAAAAAATGTAGAAAGGACTGTCATATTAAAATAATTGTTAAATTTAGGATGCACTAGTCCCGCTGTTTCAGTTTATATACATACTGTAAATGTAGCTCTCTGTGATGGACTTGTGATCTGCCCAGGGTGTACCCACCCCTCACACCACTGTGGATATGGGCACCAGTGACCTCCGTGACCCTGAAAGGAATTAGTGGGTAATTAATAATTGATGGATCCTTGCTGTGTTCAGATGCTGTTTTTAGTCAAGGAGGGTTAGAAAATGGGTGTGAAGCGTGTATTCACAGTTATTTGTGTAGCCTATTAGGGGAAAATATTATTTAATGTATTATGTTCATGTTTTGTTTTATACATCTGTTTTGTTGCTTCATCGTGGACAAAACATAAAATGAATTTCAGAACATCCAGGAACAGGGGTACCTTCTTAATATTATTTTCCACTATTCTCCAGATCAAAAAGACAAATCTGACTTTTTATTTGTGATTTATGCCATTAAATGCATCCACTGAATAAATATTGAATCTCTTAATGCAATCTGTAAAAATACCACAAAACTTAACAAAAAGCTTTAGCTTTTTCTTGTTAAAACTAAACTGTTTCATTTTAATTTTGAACATAAACCCTATCAGTTTCCTTTTTATGACACTCTTGGAACACAGCCTTTTTCTATTTTCTTTAAAAAAAGACTTTATCTAACCTCAAAGATGTAAAAAAAGTGAAAGAGGACCTTCTTTTTTTCCTGGTATCTCCATTTCTCTCCCACCAAGAAATGTAAGAGCCCCCGCTTCTATCATAATGTGCAGTGTTTGCTTTGGATCAAGTCAACAGAGATGAAAGAGGGCTGTTGACCAATTAATGTAAAGAGAGGCCTGAGACTGGGCTGCAGAGGGCCCAGGAGGGCCAGCAGGCCTTCAGGGGGTGGCGTTAGTATTGCATACCATCAAATCTCTGTGGAAACTTCTTCAAGCTGTTATTAACGGTGTGCAGAGGGAAGCTGCTGGTTCTTCCAGTTTTATTTGATGTGCTCGACCACACAGGCAGGAGATGAGAAACATCTCTGTTTGGCCAAGTTGTAAAATATATACAAAATTAAATGCATCTTAAACAAAAGGACTAGAATTTAGTGAAAAAAATGCATTTTGTTGCCACTTTTCAGACCAGGGATTTCCAGTCGTGGTTCTTGAGGGCCGCTTTCCTAGACTTGTTTCTCTGCTTCAGCACACCTGATTCAGTGAAGGAATTACCTCTTCAGGTTCTGCAGAAGCCTGTCAATCACTCAGTGATTCAGTATACTGTATGTCGTGAACGACTCTCAGTTCGTATCACATCAAACAAAATTGCAGCCATTTTTATGCCTCTGCACTTTTCCTTGACCACATGCAGAAAAGTGCAGGTTGAGTTTAAAGTGCCTGGGACGTCAACTTTTTAAAATAAATATGAATGCATTCTTGGAAAGATAACACCGATAACATGTTGCAAAAATATTTTATACCGCTGAGACGAAGAGTTGATGAGATGTTCGCATGGGAAGTAACAGGAAGTGATGTCAAAGGGGAATGTCTGAATGTAAATGGAGAATCGCTACAATGGCCAACAACAGACTGCAGAGAATAATCTGTTTTCTTTAGATCATTTTGAGTCACTGTCAGAGAGATGAAGAAGAGTCAGAGTTCAAAATATACAGTATTGTTTTAATAAACAAAAACCAGAGTTTCCCATCTTAAAGAGTTCCCCTTTGATGTCACTTCCTGTTTCATTTTGGCTGAGCCTAATTCAAAAGCAAATATGCCAGTTATGTGACAAAATAGGCAAAATCATGTGTTTTATGTCAAGTTTCTTCAATATGAAGATGTTTTCTTTGACTTTTTGTATCTGAAGGACATGCACGTCACAGCTTTTTAATGTAGAATATTCTGTTTAAAAATCTGACAGGTTGAGGATGTTAACTTTTGTAGGAGCAGCTCTGGGAATTGTTGCACAATAAAAAGAGAGCGTTTCGCCTTTTGTCCTGTTTTTAGAACAAAAGCTGTGGAGCCCCAGCACCAACATTCTGACTCGTCCTTTGTTCAAAACACAAAGGAATTAAAACGTAAACTCCAGCCGTAAAACACAGATTGGGCTCCGTGAAAGACGCAAAGTGTCAGATCTCCTCTGCATGAGCGTATAAATCCCAAACCCAGCATGCATGCTTTGTACATCCAAACATCAATCCGCACTAAATCCACTGAACTCGGGTTCACCCGGCGATGAAGAAGAAATTCCCGCTGCTCGGAGCAGGAGGAGAGCAGGCACGCTCTGCTGCAAGGAGACACGCTGGATGGGGGATTTTATTAAATGAAGTAAAATAAACATGGGGAGTAGTTGTTACATATTTTGCCAACGCTGGAACCCACAAGAATCCTAAAGGGAAAGAATCCTCACAGTGCGGTGCTTTTTTAATACAACCTCAAACCCATTCTGGAGATGTAGACAAAACAAAACAAACCACTTCATTCACAGGAGGACATCACTGGACTCACCAAGCAAAAGGTGCAGAAACATAGACTAGAAACAAGTTTGAATTATGAATGAAACTCTTAAAGCTAATGAACCTGTGGAAACCATAACAGCTTTGTCTTTTTTTACACAAAGTTACACAAACGTAGTGATTTGCAGATAGGTGCCAGATTAAGGCACAAAAATATCAAGTTCATGAGTATTTTTGGGCTATTTTTGGTTGAGAATATGAGTCGCTTTTCTCATCTGTAGAACAGATGAGCGTGATGTGCCACAGGACGAATGTTTAAATTGAGATGGATGGATAAAATACCACACTGTTGTGTTTTCACGGTCTGAGAAATGACAGCATGCAGGGATTATATAACACAAAAATCACTTTTATCCATGAAGACAATAAAACAAAAACTATAGCACTACTTTGCAAGAGTGCAGATTGTCTGTCACTTTGCGTGTAGAAGTTTTAACACAGTTAGTGCTCAGTGGAAGTGTTGTCTGAGAAAGCCTTATTTACCCACATTAGAATCTCAATTTTATTCACTATTCAATAATTATTACATTTATTTAGCATAAATTTTTTTTATTAATTAACATGTTTCAAACCCTGTATCATACCCCCCCAAAAAAATTAAAAAAAAATCATCAAACTACTTGCCACAAAGTAAATCAAACTCTCTTAAAATCTCTAAAATAACATTATTATAAATTAGATTTTAAGATAATGATCAAAAGACAGATTTCACTTCATGATTCATAATGATTTAAAACATTTATTAGAATTATTACTATTTTTATTGAGTTTTTTCTCACCTTCTCTCCAGCTTTCTAAGGCTCCACTAGCGCCCCCTGGTGGCCACTTTAAAACCACTGCCAGAGGGCGTACAAAAAGTAAGGGAATTTGTGTTTGACAGGTTATTTCTTTGCTTCTTGCCAATCAATCATTGAAAAGCTTGTAATTTTCCCTTTTAAATGGTGCCACATTTGTAAGGATCATGCATTTGTGAGATGAATAGAGCTGAATCTGTCAAACCTTCTCTACCAAACAGCTTATTTTGCTGTTGACTCTTGTTTTGAGCTTCTGCCGCCAGGTGCTGCCAGTCAGGCACCAATAATAAGATTTATTGCCAAGAAGTATTGTTACAACAAAGAAATAATCTAACAAACACTAATTTAGTTTTGTATATTTGACTTTGTAAGAAATGGGACGCTTTCAGAGAAAACAAATTAAATATGAACACATGGATGTTGACATTAGGACCCACAAAATTACTCAGTTTTATAGTTTTAATTCCAAAAGCCCATTTTAAGTGACAGATAATCACAGATAATTATTGTTTTTTTTGCTCAGAGAAGTGAAAGACACGTATACGGAGCCAGCAGGCAGTGTTTTTAGCAAAGTGACTTGTAGGTGCAGCCGCTGCCTTAATCTCCTTGTAACCATGACAATAACAACAGCCTACGCAATCTCACACAAATAGATCCTCCTCTGGTCCTGGACTACAGATTACTCTGCCTGCGATGGGATGAGCCGCTTCATTATTTGTTCTTTTGTTTCTCTGATGGACTCATTTCTACAGGAACCTGTTAAAACAAAAATCAGATCATTAAAGACTGGCTGCTGCAGAACTGTTTTACATCATACTACATCAGAACAACAACAGAACAGAGAGAAAGTGCATTTTATTGTGAAAATGCATGAACAACAGGAGCTGAATGGTTGCTGAAATTAGCCGAACCTGAGCTGATAAAGCTAAAAGAAGCAGAACAAAAAGCTAAAAGGAATGAAAAACACTAAAACAGTAGCTAAAAGTAGTAAAATGTTAGCTATAAAGCTAAAAAAAGACAAACAAAAAGCTAAACACTAACCAAAATAAAAAACAAACAAACTCAGAAGTTGAATACAGTAAATGTAGTACAATGCGAGCTAGAAAAAAAGGCTAAAAGAAGCAGAACAAAAGCTAAAAGGAACAAAAAAAAACAAACAAACAAAAAAAAAACAAACAAATAAAAACCTCAGAATAGAAAAACAGTGGCTAAAAGTAGTAAAATCTTAGCTATGAAGCTAAAAAAGGTGAACAAAAAGCTAAACACTAACCAAAATTAAAAACAAACTTAGAAGCAGAATACCATAGCTAAAAGTGGTAAAAGTCTAGCTAAAAGCTAAACATAACAAAACAGCAGCTGAAAGCTTAACGCAAAAGACTAAAAGCTAAAAGTAGCATGGATCATAGAACCATGAAGCTGGATTTTAAAAAGAATGTTTACAAAACTGAAGAGAGCTCACCATTTTTCTAAATAAAGTTAAACATGATGAAAAGTATAAAAGTTACAAAAACCAGAAGTAAAAATAAGTTATAAAAGAGGACTGACATGAGGGTTTTGTGCTTTCAATTATATTCCAGGGATGTGATAACTTGGTTAGATTTTGCTTCAGCTGCTTAAAACAATGTAAGGTTGACATCTAGTGGTTTCAATGAACAACACGACTTCTGCTTCACTCAAATATCAAGTTTTGTTGTTTTTAATTTAAAACAATAAGCTCTGAATAAATTAAAAGAAAAAGACGACTTTAGGTAAGTGTGTAAATAAACAAAACATTTTGTAAACCCACTTTAAATTTTAACATTTTCAATCTAAGCTTCATCACACTGATTTTGTATTATTTAAAATATTTCCTCGTGTTAACAATAGGTAATTCTACTCAAACCTGCATGTATTTCAGTATAAAATTTAAATGGGGGCAGAAAAACAAATGTTCCTCTCTGGAAGTGTTTGTGGAGCAGATGGGTTTTGGAGCGATGCTGACACAACAGATGACAGACGGTGGTCTCTGGAACCAGACTCTGACTCACTGCTCTGGCCTGGTCTAACCTGGGGGATCCAGCTCCCTGCCCCGCAGATGGACCATAAATCTATACCTGTTAACATTAATCATCGCTTAACAACAATGACGTTTAATATTCTCTGGTGAAACAAGCACAACTAAAACCTTTATGTTAAGCTTTTCGTTTTTACAATGTAGACAAAAATCTGACTTTTTTCTTTGTTTATATTGCTTGTGTTTTCATTTTTATTAGTCTTTATGCCATTTTACTACCTCTCTTCAGTCAGTGTTTGCTTCTGTCGGCCCGCCACAGCTGCAGCACTTCACCTCATCATATGCAGCCTGTTCAGTTTGTTGGTTTGTTTCTGTTTTCAGTCGAGCATTACTGGTTTGCATTCCGCCTCCAGTTCTCCCTGGGCGTTCTTGTCTCTTTGCGCCTTCCTGAGTTTGTACGCTTTGCCTTATAATAAAGTAAGTTGATAGATCTGCATCATTTGGTCTGAAACCTCCTGATAAAATTGTGACAAACTCTAAAAAAAACACTAACTATTAAATGTCACACTAACTTTTGAACTGCCTAAAACCTTTGCAATAATAATAATAATAATAATAATAATTTGTTACATATGTTCTGGTTTTCAGGAAGGTATGACCTAAAAATGCCAACACAAAGAAAACACCACAAAACAAAAGCAAATTAAGTACATATATCCTGATAACAAGTTCAAAACTATTCATCAAAATTTGTGTCTCACTTCTAGGACATGCACAGAATGCACTAAACAATCTTCAATGAACTTCAATATACTGTATTTTAGGTCATTAAAACAAAAAAGTAACACTTAACATTATGATTTATGAATAATAATAACAAAAATGAAAATAAAACAAAAAACTTACTTGTTTTGAGGTTTTAAAAATAAATTTCAACAAACTTTCACTTCTAAATGAAATCTGTTTGCAGAGTGAAGCCAGGGTAGGTTGTTCCACACTTTGCGTGAACGTTCCATGACTGACACACCGGGAGGACCAATCAGACGCCGACGTCGCCGTTCACGAGAGCCAATCAAAAGGCGCGGACGCGTACAGTGATTTCTACAGCCCAGTCAAGCTAGTTTGAGCGGCCTGAGCTCCATAGAAATTTGACAGCTTCACAGGTGAGACGACCGTCCAGAGGCTGTTTCACTTTACGTTTCTGGATTTATTTTCTCCTCGGGACTCTCCTTGCTGTGAGCCTGGGGTTGTCACATTCAAAAAGCGACCCTTCTCCGAAGTCTTTTTCCTCCGGCAGCATGAGCAAGAAGAAAAAGGACTGGAAGACTGAAAAAGGTAAGGGTTGTTTTTGGTGGGGGTGAATAAGGGGATAAATCCATGGGCATACCCAGCAGGAATCCTAACTACACAGGAATATTGACAGACACTTTGTCTGTTTCCTGCTCGTAGCTTGGATAACTTATTTTCTAGGCTGTGTTCTGCAACCTGAACCGGGTCTGGGTAGATGTTACTGTTGCACCTCACCGCTATTAAACGGTGGACGTTGGCAACAACACAATAATATTCAATATTGAATCGCTTCGTGACTGTTCAGCTCACATGTTAGATGCTCGGAGTTGTCTCCACTATCTTTTTTGTATTTGTCTGTTTGTCACTAACATATATTTCCTGTTTTTCTACCTGTGTGCACCTGTGCTTTATGATGGCTCCATTCATTCTCCTGCAACCTCCTTGTCTAACTCTCACTCACTCGACATGTTTGATAAAATAATAAATTTTATACATTTTTAAGTGAGATTATCAGACAAACACTGATGTTTTTGCTTCCTGAGACGCAGAAATTGGACCTGTTGACTTATTAAAGCAGTTATAGGATGCTTTTGTCTTATTCTAACACGTTCAAGACCTTTTTGCACAGAAGCTTTTTATTACCAGGTGTAACTAATTAGCCATTAATTAGCTGTTACTGTACTGAGCCTCTGCAGCTGTGCTTGTTGTTAATGAGTTATCATTGGATTTTAAACTAATCAACTGAGAATAAATATTTATTGCACTTGTAGTCTTTTTTTTCTCAGACTTATCTGTTGTTTTCTTCTGTGCAGTGTTGTATAAAGTACCTCATAGTGATACTTGAGTAAAAGTACAAGTATCTTATCATAAAAATACTTTGGTAAAAGTTAAAGTCTTCTCTAAAAATATAACTTGAGTAAATGTCTTAAAGTATCTGATATTTTTTGTACTTATCAAAAGTAAATTTCTGACACAAAATCTACTTAAGTATTAAAAGTAAAAGTACTAAGTAAAAGTGAGCAGTTAGATTTTCCAAAATGACATTTATTGGAGGTGACTTCTCCAAAAAATATTTTTTCTAACGTCGTGCAGCTGTGATGGGTTGTGTACAAGCTAATAGGGTATCAGAATGGTATATATTTATACTTCTCATCCAACTACAACTAAATTCACTCTATCCAGGAGATGCAATTTATCAGGAAAGTATTTTTTTAAAAGTAATAACTGTTCGGAATAAAATAGGAGTAACGACTTTCTGCTTTTTACATTTTTAAAAAAATGTAGTGAGTAGAAAGTACAGATAATTGTGTAAAAATGTAATGAGTAAAAGTAAAAAGTACACTGAAAAATAATTACTCAAGTAAAGTACAGATAACCAAAATTTCTACTTAAGTACAGTAACAAAATATTTGTACTTAGTTACTTTACAACGCTGCTTCCGTGCATAAACATGACATTAAATCAGTTTATGATCTGATTTATGGTTTTGCAACTGTTTTGATTAGTTCCAGAGAGGGACATGGATCAACAGATCTGGATCTTGTCTTCAGTAATGAGGGCGTTGCTTCGGTCGGTCTTGGTGAAGGAACAGTTGAGTTGAAAAGGAACGCTCTCTACATTCCAGCCCTCGCCTGTTTGGTCTGAATCGTGACCAAAAGAACGAGATCCTGGATACAAACAGCTGAAATAACGCTGCGTTCCAGTTGCGGCGGAACTCGAAATTGTAAAGTCGGACTGATGTTGGTTTCGAGTTGAAAGTGCTCCAGCTTGTCAGAGCGTCGGGGGAAAAAAAGCTTTTGGATTTGTTACTCTGACAGAATAATAATAACGCATAAAGCAATAGCACTTGATAAAGCTGGGCGATAATTCAATAAAGAGAAATCGCGATCAATAGAAAACACGTCCGATATAATATCAATAATTTCACTTGTTATTAACGACTAACGATTGATAACTTTCTGATAAAATAAGCTAGCCTAGGACCTTTCAGCTAAACAACACCTGGAAAGCTAAGATTCTCCTTCAAAATAAAAGCTTCAAGCTGTTAATAGACAACCAATTACCACAAAAATAAATAAAATAAAAAAACCGCTCGCACTTTATTTTGAAATGTGTAAACTGGTTTTTATTTTTCTCCCTCCTGTCAACACATTAGAGCGATAGAGCACTAGCTTGCTGGATCGGTCTGCTGCCGTAGGGTTAATATGAAATTAATTCTTGATTGACGTACTGTAAAAAGCCCCAACTTATAGTTCTGACTTTTCTCATAATTTGGCCAAAGAGGAAAACAAAACAATGCTGTTGACGAGTAGACAAGGGCAAGCGCAGGTGCTAATCTCAGTGTCAACTAAAGCTGTCTGCCTCAGTTTCTGGGGCCATCTCCTCAGTTAGCAGTGCCGGCCTATCATTAATCAGATCAAAAGCTGGCTTAGGAATAGATATAGCCTCCTGCTACAAGGATGTAACAACCACTGGTTGCACAATAGTCTTAACTTTGGCCCTCATACCGCCTCAAACAGCGGGTAAAATAAGTATTGACCACATCAACATTTTTCTCAGTAAATATATTACTAGAGGTGCTAATGACATGAAATTTTCACCAGATGTCGGTAACAACCCAAGTGATCCATACACAAAGAAATCAAACATACATGTCCAGAAATGAAGTTATTTGTAATAATGTGGAATGGCACAGGGGAAAAGTTTTGAAC